CCCCAAAGAAAACCCTGTCCGAAAAAACAAAAAAAAAAAAAAAAAAAAAGAGAGAGAGAGAGGGGGGCTAGAGAGATGGCTCAGTGGTTGGGAACATTTGCTGTTCTTCAGAGGACCTAGGTTCAATTCCCAGCACCCACATGAGAGCTCATAACTGTCTGTAACTCCAGTTCCAGGGGATCCAGCTCCCTCACCAAAGACATGCAGGTCAAACACCAATGCATATAAAATAAATAAATGGAAAATTTTTAAAAAGAGAGAGAAAGGGAAGGAAGGAAGGAAAGAAAGAAAAGAAAAAAAGAGGAAAGAAAGTAAAGGGAATTGTGGCTCATGCCTGTAATCCCAATACTTAGGAAGCTGAGACAGCAAGATCTGAAGTCTAAGGTCATAGCTACATAGCCAGTTCAAGGCCAGCTTGGGCCATATGAAACCTTGTCTCAAAACTAAACAACAATTATAAAAAGAACTCTGTACTTCTAACAACAGCCTTACAGGATTAATCTTGGTTTTCTCTCCGAGTCCTTCTTCTTCTGGTAACTTTGAGTGCATCCAGTAGAATCGGAAATCGGTCTGCCACAGAGAAGGTTGAGAAAACAATGTTCATCTCAAACTCCTATATGAATGAAACACCTCATTCTAATAGCCACATGACTCATATAGACCTAAGCCATGCTGGTGCTCTCCCTATTTCCATTTATAACCATAAATTTATCAAAAGTTTCAAGATTTTCACTGTGTATGGGGTGTGTTTCAGATGGCAAGATAGATCAGTGGCTAAGGGTGCTTGCCATACAAATTTGTAACCTGAATTTCATCTTTACAACCCACACTTGGAAGATGAAAACCTTCACCCAAAAGATATTCTTTGACCTCCATGTACTTGCTTTCAAATCACACACACACAATAATGATAAATAAAATTCTAAAATATATTTCATTGTTTATATTATACAAAGTATTGTATTACACAAAGGCATTTTCATACAAGTATAAGTTGTAAGATTTTTTTCTTTGAAAATTTAGCAAAGCTGCCAGTCATTGTGGCTCAAACCTGCACAAATCCCAGCATTTAGGAGGTAGACACAGGGCATCTTTGACTACACAGTGAAATCAGCCTACACTATATAACATATGTCGTGATTTCACTGGTGGCTTGGCATGGTAGCTAATACTTGCAATCCCATCAATCAGAGGTCTGAAGCAGAAGGACCACGAGTTGGAGGTTATCCTGACCTAAACAGCAAAATCACTTATTTATTTATTTATTTATGCTTAGTGTTTTTGTTTGTTTGTTTGTTTGTTTTGGTTTTTCGAGACAGGGTTTCTCTGTGTAGCTTTGGAGCCTATCCTAGCACTCGCTCTGGAGACCAAGCTGGCCTTGAATTCACAGAGATCCGCCTGCCTCTGTCTCCCGAGTGCTGGGATTAAAGGCATGTGCCACCACTGTCCAGCAATCTTCAGCCTCTTATATAGGATGAGCCTGCTTCAAACAATAACACAGTCATCACTCAAGATATACTGGATCATGCCTGTAACCCTAGCATTTGAAAAGCTACAGCAGGAAGGCCAGAAGATTTAGGCCAACCTGGGCTACATAGTTCTAAGCCAGCCTCAGCTACAGAATGAGGCTCTGTCTTCAAATAAATAAACAAATATATAAATAGATAGCTGGGCTCTAGTGTCACACACCTTTAATCCCAGCACTTGAAAAGCAGAGGCAGGAAGATCTCTGTGAGTTTTAGTATAGCCTGGCCTTACAGAGCAAGGTCCAGGACAGCCATGGCTACAGAGAGAAACCATGCCTGGAAAAACAAACAAACAAACAAACAAACAAACAGAAATGAATGAATGAGTAACTTCAACCACCATCTAGGAACTATATTACCATCATTGCTATTTTACATGTTGAAGACTCTGAAAACCAGAAAGGTGAAGTCACTTGCCTGGGTGAACACAAAAAATATTGTGAGACCTAGATTCCTCCATTCCAAAGCACATTATACTAACTCCCTTGCTTCATTTTAATCTGGCTATTAAAAAAACACTACACAGCTGAATCTTTTCCTAAGTACTTGATTCCCTGAATTATTAATGTGCATTCTTCTATGAGATACTCCCTGTTCTTTTACTTTGCTTCTGGAAATTTGAAACAATAAAATTAATTTTCTTTTTCTTCTGTGTTTTTGTTGAGACAGGGTTTTGTATAGCTCAGGCTGGTCTCAGGCTTGCTATATATCAGAGGGTGGCCTTGAACTTCTGATCCTCTGTAGAGGCTACAGGTATGACTAGTTTATGAGGTGCTGGGGACTGAGCCCAGAGTTTTACGTATACTAGGTCAGCATTCTACCAGCTGAGCTGCATCCTCATTTCCTTGATTTGTTTTGTTTTGTTGAGACAGGAATGGTCTTGCTATGTAGCTCAGGCTGGGCTTGAAATTCATGACATTCATCCAGCTTCAGCCTGTAATAAAGGGACCACAGGCATGAGCTACTATGCTGCACTTGTCTTTTTCTTATAGTAAAACTATATATTATATATAGTATAATATGTATGTGGTTTTTAATTACCAAATTTATAAATTGTGAATATCCTTTTTAAAAAAACTAAAGGGAGGCCACCCAAGGCTAGACAGCAAAATTCTATCTCAAACAAACCAAAACACCACTAGCTGTCATTTCCTGAAACCCACCAGAAGGTAACAGATATAGAAAGAAACAGTCTAGTAGGCTATCCCAGTGTGGTGGTACACACTTTTGATCCCAGCACTCAGGAGGCAGAGGCAGATGCATCTGTGAGTTTCAGGCCAGACAGGGCTACAGAGTAAGACCTTGTCTCAAAAACAAACAAACAAATAAACAAAAAAAGAAAGTAAGTAGTCAGTCTGGAACTAGGCACAGCAGTTCATGCCTGTAATCTCTTCCTAGAGCAAGCTTTGAGATTTGAGGCTCTGTATCATACCAAGGATGACCTGGCATTTTCAGGGTCAGGATATGGTGGGTGAAGAAGGGAAGGTACATGAGTTTGCTTGATGCTGCTGTCTGCATAAGATCCCACAACAATCCTCACATTCTCTGGAGCGACGTGAGGGGGCCACCACAGCTACTAACATACCTCCAGCCTGAACCTCTGCTGTTTCTTCTTCCTTAAGAAATGCTGTATTTCCCTTAGTTTCTCATACTTATTTTTTAAACTAAGTTAATTCAAACACCCTCAAAGATGCAGGGAGCATTAGATAATGTTCTTGATTACCACATCCTGTATCTACCAAGAAGTTGGTCACGTACTAAACCCACATGCTGAACCACCTTCCCGGGAGTAAAGAAGACAGGAAAGACATGAGGAGGTTATCACTCCTTACCTGACAGTCATAAAAAGGGTGTCCCCGCCAGCACATCACATCCAAAACATAGTAGGTCTGGTTTACCTCACTGTAAATGCAGTCCAGAATGGTGTAGTCTACAGATATAAGAAAGTCAACACACGAAACTCAACTTCCAGCCAGGGTTCCATCCACTGTGATATAAGGAGCTCCATCCTAACAGGCTCAAGTCAGACAATCCTCAGAGCTTGTGGCAATTGTCAGTACTAAAGATGATAGATTCATCAAGAAGAGAGTTGTACTTAGCCCTTTCTAGCTACCTGACATAGCTGAAAGATGCTACAAGGTAAGATAGTATGAGAGATCACACTTTAGTCAGTGGGAATTCTAAACAAGTTGGGACATTTATTTACTTTTAAAGAAGCTCAGGTTTTAATTTTGCTTTTATTGTTTTTTTAAGCAAGCTAGCCTGGAATCTACTATGGACCCGAAGATGACTTAGAACTCCTGATCTTCTTGCTTCCATTTCCCAATTGCTAAGATTATAGGCAAGCACCATCAAGCCTGCTATTGTACTGTTTTAAGACAGGACTTCACTTTGTAGCCCAGACTGACCTCAAGCTTTTAGCAATCCTACTGTCCTTGACTTCCTGAATGCTGGGATCACGAGGCACCTGCTACCACTCTAGGCTATTTTTATTCTATGTGTATGTGAAAGGTTTTGCTCTGTTACCCAAGCTCGCATTGCCTTTTGAGGGACTGGACACAACCACATCTGGCTTACAATTACTTTCTTATTATGAGTGTTGTGCCATATGAGGAATATCACATATAACTCATCTCTTTCTTCAAGGAAATAGATATAAGATGATTACAGAGACAAGAGCTAAGTTACACAACATAAACTATGAACAACAGGAATTCTAGGAGAAAACTGGAGTAAAGGAGGCGGGCTACAGTGCTTCTTGCCTGAATTCCCTGCACTTGGTAGGCTGAGGCAAGAAGATCAGGATTTTTCCTTCCTTCCTTCCTTCCTTCCTTCCTTCCTTCCTTCCTTCCGTGTGTGTGTGTGTGTGTGTGTGTGTGGTTGAGACAGGGTTTCTCTGTGTAGCCCTGGCTATCCTAGAACTCACTTTGTAGGCCAGGCTGACCTCAAACTCAGAGATCTGCCTGCTAGCCTTACTACAGAACACAAAAGAAATCTTCAATGAACCTGGGCAGGAAGAGAATAGAGCAGGTTTGGGCCTCAGCTTTGCCCGTTCCCCTCAAAACAACTAAGAATACATTATTTAATCTTTGTAACCCTAGTCCACTTACTGAGGCCAGGTAGGAGGAAAGCTAAGGTAGGAAAATGACAAAGGAGAAAGAAAATTGGACCGGGAAACCCCAGAAACAGCTCACTGTGTTGTTACACTTGGCATTCTCTCAGGGACCTTTATGGAAAAAAAAACTCTGCGTGTCATTTTGTAATAAATGGCCCAAGGCATGAATGATGACCTTCATTCAGAGATATTCTACCTAGTGTGCCTCACAGGGCTGCATGTATCATGCAACTGAGGAGACCTGACTCTGAAGGGAGGATGCTTTCAAAGTGGGTCATTACAATAACTAACCAAGTCTGCTTGTATAGTGAAGTTTCAGCATCACTCTGAGCCCTCAAGAGAAGGTTTCTCCCTGTTTCCTAAAGCCCAAGTCCTTCCCCTATTTATTTCACATTAACCAGGGTGCAAGATTAGGAATGGGGATGTGGCCTCATCCTTGGAGAGTAACAAGGATCAACCAGAAAACCAACAGCAGCTGTCCCTCAGACTATCAAAATCAATGACTGCCAGGCTATGGTGGGGCATGCCTTTAATCCCAGCACTCGGGAGGCAAAGATAGGTGGTGGATCTCTGTGAGTTCAAGGACAACCTTGTCTACAGAGCTAGTTCTAGGACAGCCAAAGCTACAGAAAGAAACTATCTTTTAAGACTAAACATAAATAAATAAATAAATAATTCCTATCTTTATAGAAAATCAACTAGGATTTTTATAAATGTAAACTCTGCCTGATTCTATACAACAAGGAAGGGAGCTACCACACCTGCATCTAAGGGCAAAAACATCAGACAACTTGAACCAGGGAGCACCCATGATAGCTAAAGAGGTCCTGCCCTGCTAACTTCCAGAGAAGGTTCAAGCTGGAAAGGAAGATGTTTATGAAGATCAGCAGCCTGGGATACACAGTAGCAGAGGTGCACAGAGATGGACCAATAGAGTCTCCTGTTCTACATGGGCAACCTTGAGATCACCAGGACCAACATGTCCTTCCACTATTTTCTGTTTGCCTATAGCTGGAGGACTGGGACACTAGACCAGTACAGTGTAACTGCTTATGGATCAAATTTTACAGATCATTGTCTTCTAGGTGATGAGCAAAGAGACTAACAAAAACAAAGACAAGTTTTTGGATCTACTGGAATTGAAAGCTAATTAATAGTTTTTACTCCAATTCCCCATTACATTCAGGGGCACCCAGTCCCACACAGTGTCTCTGCAAGACCCAGTGAGTGTGAATCAGCCCTGGCTCTTACTTCACTTGGTCTGCTCTAAATTCATGCCCCCCACCTCTCCAGCTGGCTTGGCTAGCTCCTAGAGTCCCACCTTAACATTGGATGTCTGATTCCCTGATTCATACCCACCATCCCCAGATATTCATTCATTTCATTGCCTGACCTCCAGACCCTGGAAATAGACACACCTGCTCCTGCAATCCATCTCCAGGCTCTAAAGGCACATCCACTAGACCTGGGAATCCACTCCAACATGTCAGAGGTTTACCTCTAATTTCCTTCACTCAACACTCATGGCCCCACACTGAAACACCCCACTCTTCCCACCATCAACTGAAATGCTAACTACTACATCTGGTTTGCTTTCTGCTTTTTCCTATGGAGGATATTCTCAAAGTTTTGAACTTTGTTCTATCCCAGAATCTGTTGAACAGACTCCCTGTTAAAAACAAGAGTAAAACATGGAGTCAGGAGATGTAACTCCATTGTTAAAAGTACTTGTCTGGAAAACACAAAGCCATGGGTTCAATACTCAACAACTATCAATGTTCAAGAAAGCAATTTCATCCTTAGCCACAGAGCAATTTGAAGGCCAGCCTGTACACATGAGACTGTCTCATAAACAAAACCATGGTTAAGAGCAGTGACTGTTCTTTCAGAGAAACCTGGTTCAATTCTCAACATCCACATAGCAACTCACAGTAGTTTATAACTTTACTGCATGCAAGTGGTACACAGATATACAAGTAGCCAAAATATCCATACACACAAAATAATATAAAAACTTAAAAGGAGCCAGGCATTGGTGGCGCACGCGTTTATTCCCAGCACTCAGGAGGCAGAGGCAGGCGGAACTCTGTGAGTTCGAGGCCAGCCTGGTCTCCAGAGCGAGTGCCAGGACAGGCTCCAAAGCTACACAGAGAAACCCTGTCTCGATAAACAAAAAAAAAACAAAAAAACAAAACAAAACAAAAAAAACAACAACAACAAAAAACAAAAAAACTTAAAAGGAAAAAGCAAACAAATACCCAAACAAAAATTACCTAGCTAAGTAATATTCCATTTTGTACTAGTAAAAAAAAAAAGCAAATGACCCCACATAATGGCACATGCTTATAATCCTACTACTTGGGAAGTAGATTAAAGACAATGATTTCAAGTATTGACTAACATAACAAGTTTGAAGATAGCCTGGGCTATACAAGACCTTACTTCTTTTTTCTTAAATGACAAAAACTTAGTAAATAACTAGATATAACAGTACATGCTTATAATCAGTTTGTAATCCTATCATGGAAAGGCTAAGGTAAGAAGATCAGGAGGTTTGGGCCAGCCTGGGTTAAATGGTTTACTGGATACTATTATGTCAACCTGACATAAGCTAAAGTCATCTTTGAGGAGGGAACCTCAGTTAAGAAAATGCTTCCTGCCAGGAGGTGGTGGTACACTGTCTTTAATCCCAGTGCTTGGGAGGCAGAGGTAGGTAGATTTCTTCAAGGCCATCCTGGTCTATTGAGGAAATTTCCTGGACAGTCAGGGCTACACAGGGAAACCCTATCTCAAATAAATAAATAAATAAATAAATAAATAAATAAATAAAATAAAAACAAAGATAAAAAATAAAAAAGAAAGAAAGAAAACGCTTCCCTAGGATTTGGCTATAGGCAAGCCTTTAGAGCATTTTCTTTCTTTCCTTCCTTCCTTCTCTCTCTCTCTATTTTTTTTTTTTGAGACAGAGTCTCTCTGTGTAGCTTTGGCATCTGTCCTGGAACTCACTCTGATCTGCCTGTCTATGCCTCCTGAGTGCTGGGATTAAAGGCATGCTCTACTACCACCAGGCCTAGAGATTTTATTAGTTATTGATGGGTGAGGGCCCAGCCCACTGTGGGTGGTGCCATCCTTGGGCTGGTGGTCCTGGGTTCTTTAAGAAAGCAGGCTGAGCAAGCTAGTAAGCAGCACCCCACCATGGCCCCTACATCAGCTCCTGCCTCCAAGTTCCTGCCCTGTTTGAGATCCTGACCTGGCTTCCTTAAATGATAAACTACAATGCAGAAGTGTAAGGCAAATAAGCCCTTTCTCTGGAACTTGCTTTTAGATGTGGCATTTCGTTTTAATTTAAATTTTTATTATTATGTATGTTGCATGCATGTGGGCATGTGCTATGGCACATGTTGGCGATCACAACTCTTGGGAGTTAACTCTCTAATTTTCACTGTGGGCTCAAACTCAGGACTTCACACTTGATCTTAGCCAAAAGGCCGAGAAGTGATGATGAGGACTTCACAAAAAGCACTTGTGTCTACTGAATTGGCTGGCTGATATCCTTTGTAATTGAGTACCAGCACTGAAGGGGTAATGAGGGAGGAAAACCAAAAAGCATAGTAAATAGGAATCATATGCAGGTACCTTTGGCTGTTGTTGAGTTTCTCCTGTTGCCTCCTGGCAGAAGGGATGAAAACCTATTGACACAGTAGCCACTCTTGGTGTAGGCACTGGTTGAACCCTGTGGGGAGAAAGCTACCATTCTCATTAGGCATTCACGGGTATTCTTGACTCTTGCTTCTTTATCCTACAGGATTGTCATT